TTCTTTCTATAGCGAATTTGTGTAGGGAGCATGATTTTTTTGTAGTGGTCATCCAGTGGACTTTTCTGGTGCATAATGTTTAGTAAACACATCGGTCAACTTCATTGTGCATATATTCTTACTTAGCATCTGAGATTAATGGACAAGATTCCTCAGCAGGTCATGGAAGCTCACTGCCAAGAAAGCCCGAACTAGGACGAAAAATGAATTCAGTGTTGCTATTTTTTAAACCTTTCTATACCGGATATTAATCAGTGATAAAAACCACGTAGATTTCAATGAGTTCGGTAAATATAAGTCAATTAATGTAGTTGATTGTATTTAGTCAATAAGTTTTGGAGAATAAAATGCCGTTTAAGCATAATAAATTAGTACTTTACCAATTGTAGTCAACCAGTATTGAATTACAGTTGAAGTGCATAACTTCGTGAGTATTTCTGAAGAAGCACCTTTTCCTAATTTTGTAAACACAATGAAATAATTGAAGTGGCACTGTATTATACTTGATATGAACTAGAGGAAACGACTCATACAACAATATCATAATAATAACTAAAATTATTGGTAAAATAGGCATTGAAGTCAAGCCGATAGTAGTAAAATTTTTGAGCTAACTCTTGATAAATAATTGTCTTACAGAGCTTCATATGACAACCAACTTTTAAAAACACAAGAATAGAAAGCTTCCATGTCTTGTTGATTTCGCACTACTGTTAAAGAGCCTAGAGGACCAACTAACATTCAACATTATTCTGCGAAGTGTTTAAATGTTTAAGGCGAATGACTATTTCCATAACCGCATAATTTGAACATTCATTTTTGCTTGTTTCTATCTAATGTAATCACATCCTGCAAATAATTCTGTAGAGCATTAAATATTAACTTCTATCTTTTGGTAATATAGCTCTATTTGGGGATATTCAGTGGTTATTAATTACAATATAATAAACATATTTTGGCGTCACTGAAGAGGGGTTTCAGTAACCTTGATAATTTGCCTACCAACATGGCTGTAATCAGCTTACTGAAGAATCTTGGATTTCCTGAGAAGCAAAATTTCCATTTATATAATAAACTTACTAGACTTCTCACAAGCCACTTTCAGGTGCCATGTGATACACAGCTCACATGAATACACCCGTTCACGCTGCTGTTCAAAAGATTCAAGATTTTATTTGCCTACGTCGGACACGAGCATCTAAATGTAGCATCGATGACCAACTGCAGTGCACTCACATCCGTAATGGTTTAACCGCCGGTAATGATGTGTTAGTGTTACAAAAGAAATTGGTTCGAAAATACCTTCTTGTACCTCTCAGACTGCTTAAAACACACACAGAAATTATGAAGGTGCTCACGGTGATTAAATCTAAAAAGTTACTAAGGATTATGACGATAACACTTCCGAAATTCAGGTTTCACTTTGATTTATTGACTGAATGGTCTAAAGGATGGAGTCTGGAAATAAATTCCAGTAAGTGTTATAGTGCGAATTGAGCACACGTAGTTTGATCTAAGAATAGAAAACCCTTATTTCGTGTTTTGGGGTGGAATGCTTATGCAATATTGTGGGTCACAATATGAATAAGAAGACACATTTTAATGTCTCGGTAGCTAAGGCGTTTCTCATGCATTCACTGCTTTGGAACAAATTTGACTGCGTCAATGAAAATATGTTTAGGAGTCTATACCCAACGATTTACAGCCTCATTTACCATAACCAAGAAAGAAGTATATGTTTCATAAAAAAATTAAATCATGGGAAAGTGATAACTGTTTGATGATCTTTGAGTTCGGAAAACACCAGACACTTAGCACTGTTATCCTGACCTACAAATCTCTACATTGAAAAATCTCCAGAGAGTCAGCATGAGGTTAGTGAGAGTTCTTGCCTGCTTTCTTTTCGAATAACGACACAAAAGCTTAGAAAATGTTTTGCGAAATCTAATAAACGTATTTCGTATCCTGAATAATGCTCTTAACACTGACTTATAAGGTTACTCTTTTTTCCAATGGCTACTTTAGAAACCATAAGAAAAAGACGAAAACACCGCTAAAAAAAACTGTTCTCCATCATGATGATCAACAACTACAAATAGTTAGCCGAACAAGTAAACGTCTCTCCTTAAGCAAATGCATTTACATGGAAAAGGCACAACAAACAAGGTAATCACGGAAGAACTCAAACGCGCTATGTGACTTCACAACATTATCCATGAAAACTGAAGACAGGGGAGTGATCCAACACAAGCATATCATTGGAAGTTCAGTTTACCTTCGTTTATTCTGAATACTGTTTAATTTTCTGATCAACCACTAGTTAAACAACGTAAAATCAACAGACAGTAAAATATAATCAAAATCGAACATCAAAAGTAGCTCCCTTCCAGAAAACAGATAACGAAGAAAATCCTTTGGTTTGAAAGTAAACGAACAAATAAAAGACTGTTTGTATATCAGTTACGAAAGTGACAATAAGGTTGCCAACACATGCAGAATGTCATGATGAATTAGCTAAATGGAACACTATGAAAATGATGCAAGTTTGTAATAATAATAATCACTTTATTTCGAACAATTTTTGGTACACTTCTGAATTTTCAGCATGTTATATTGCAACAAAAATATGTATACTTCTTTACAACATTTTGAATAGTTTAAATATAATAATTTAAATTATGTAAAGAATATTAATAACGAGGAAAATCTTACATTGTTAGTTAAAATGTTGGAAAGGCTGATATATATATATATATATATATATATATATATATATATATATATATATCATTCATTCATTTTGCTCACTAACTTAAACGAAGCATCATAAAATATTTATGATGCCATGCAAACACCATTATGTCTGACGAAGAGGTGTATACATACAGAACGTTTATTAGGTATAAAAGCTATATACTTATGTATTCATGAAGGTTTACGTCTAACGCAATTTTTGAACTCCTCGTGTTTTCGCAAACAGTTAGCTGTGCCTAATGAAAGTTCAAAGGTTAAAGTATTCTTTTGACAAACAACGTGGTTCCTAGAATGACCCTACCCGATACCAAATAATATCTTGGCTGATCGCAGCAGTTATTCCCAAAAGGATGAGTTTTACTGCTTCTGTCGAATTAAAGTCATCTACCGTAGGTGTGAGGAAAGCTGTCCACTATACAGTTTAAGACTGGGTAAAATACCATGGTAAGTGTTCTTCAAATAATGAAAATTTTCGCTGACCATTGAAATTAGCTGCTTTCATATTGTGAACCTTTGTCCATCGTGATATTTGAATGGTACAGACGATCAGAAGCCCAGTGTATTATGAGCTGATTAGCAACAGTTTCTGTGGTTAAATTTTTAGGTTGGATGGTGACTGACTATCTTGTGAATCTACCAATGTGCATTAGGAAATATGTGAATCCTTCCAAGGGCGAAAATAACCTGACCAAATAGATATCTACATGATGTATTCCATTCAGATTCTCAATGAAGAATTTATGTAAAGTACATAGAGATATACTTGATTTCTAGTGGATATGATGAATTACCATTCCAATTAATGTAAAATATAAATGTTCAAAATTAACTAGGCCCTCGAGTAGATCCCCATGGGAAGCGACGAGTTGGAAGTCAGAGGGTGACATGGAGGAGATCAAGCGAGGAGAAAATGAGAGCTTCTGGGCTGTCGTGGAAGCAGGTTGAAAATATTTCAGAGAAGAGAGCTCACTGGAGACGTGTTTATGAAGCCCATTCATTAGGAACCCAAGAGACTAACAATAATAAATTACCTAGCTCACCAGTTACCAACAGGTCATAAGCCCAGATAAAGAGGGAAGGTTGGGCATAGAGCTAGCAACCCTTCCATGGAAAACCAATCCAACCACTAAAAAAACTTCAAAGCACAAAGAAAAAACAAACCTATTCCTCACTGGAATCGGGGAGGCGAAATCACGCCGGTTGGTGAAAGCCTTCGGGAAGCCAATTGGCCGATATGTCTTCTCTTCCCTCGATGAAAGCGAAAGTAAGAATGGGGACATGGAATGTCCGAACAATGTTTGCAGCTGGCTGGCTGGCTGGCAAGGCTGCCCAAATTGCAAAACAGATGAGAAGGTTTCACATTGAAGTGCTAGGAATCTGCGAAAGTAGGTGGAATGGAAGTGGACTCTCCAAACTGTCAACTGGAGAGTCAATAATCTACTACGACATTGTCACCCAGACGAAAACCACGAGCACACTCAGTTATAAAGTGGCTATCATGATGTCCCCAAGACCACCAAAGGCTCTCATACAGTGGGAAGCAACAACCTCCTGCAGAATCATGACAGCAACATTCAAATCAGAAGGAAGGAAAGCCACAATCATACAATGCCACACTACACCACACTACGCACCTACAAATAATGCAGATGAAGAGAAGCAGGAGGAATTCTACAGACAACTGCAATGAGTACTGGACAAGACTCCATCCCGGTTGGCGACATCAAAATTCTAATGGGTGGGGTGACATGAATGCGAAACTCGGAGTGAACAACACAGGAAGTGAACTCATAATGGGTCGAGAAGCACTCGGTGAAATGATGAATGAGAATGGAGAATTGTTTGCAGATTTCTGTGCATTCAACGATTTGGTGATTGGAGGCAGTGTGTACAAGCACAAGGATATTCACAAAGCGACATGGATTTCACCAGACGCCAGGACACACTAAAAATCAGATCGACTTTATCTCAATCTGATGAAAGTGGAGACGCAGTCTCCTAGACACAAGGTCAAGAAGGGGAGCAGATGTAGGTTCACACCACTCACTATCTAGTGCAAGGAACCTTCCAAATCAAGTTGAAAGCCTTCAAGGAAGTTGGCGATGATAGACCACAGTTCAAGTTCAACACACAGAACAGAAACTGAACTGAAGGACAAAACTACAAAGGACATCTTCACGTCAGCCATCAGAACAAAATGGGAGACATTGAGCAACATCCCTGAAGGAACCTGTGTGGAAGAACACTGGAACTCTTTGAAAGTGATGTGGAAAGAAACCTGCATAACAGTATTAGGGAGGAGGAAAAAACAGGACAAGGAATGGATATTGATGGACGCATGGAAGCTGATAGAGGAGTGAGAGGAAGATGATGAAACAGAAGGTGAACCAGTGCAAGGATGCACAACGAGAAGAGGAAGTGAACACAACCTATAAAACACTACACTGGACAAAGAAGTGAAGAAGAGTGCACGCAAAGACAAAAGACACTTCTACGAAACACTGGCAAGTGAAGCAGAACAGGCTGCAGGTAAGAGAGGTAGAGACCTGACAACATTATATCAAATAACCAGGTTACTATCTGAGATGGAAGAGATCAACACACGAAACCAGTGAAAGATAGTGAAGGAAACCTAGTTACCACCAAAGTAGAAAAATAAATGAAACAATAGGCTGACCACTTGAAAAAACTCTTCGAATGACCACCACCTGCAACTCGTCCGGAAATACGACCAGCAACCGCAGAACTACCAGTGAACACAGGCCTCCCGGCAAAAGTAGACGTCCTGAATGCCATAAAACTGCCGAACTTCGGGAAAGCAGCAGGACCAGATGGGATCCCGCCAGAAGCACTGGTCCTATCTTGATATTGATGATGATGATGATGATTATTAATTAGGCTTTGGATACTTCTGAAAATGTAGAGTAATAAAGGTGATAATATATCATTTTATAGCTTTGTTCAAGAAATTGGCTTAACTTTAACCAAACGATAATTCGGTTTGGTAAAGTGAAAGTTAAACACAATGGATACATTTGGAGCATGAGGAACGAAATTGTAATTGCGAGTCGCAATCTCGAATTCTTGAAAATAACTACTGGTCTCCGAAAGTCAAAGTTTTCTGTTCAGTTCACTTATTTGTATTGTGTTTGCAAAAGATAGAAACAAATACTTTAATATTATTTATTATTATTTGTCCCTAGGGTTCCTAGCGGAACATAGGGCTTCAGTAGCACAACTCCATTGCACTCTGTTCTCTGCAGTTTTTCGAACCTGGCTCCACAACTGCCTAGAAGCTCTCATTTCTTCCTCACATGATCCCCTCCATGTCACCTTCAGCTGGGATGCCCAACTCGTCGTTTCCCCTTTGGATTCCACTCGAGAGCCTGGCCTGACGCGCGATGTCCCCAGTCAGCCTTCTCAGTTTATGTCCAATCCAATCAATCTCCACTTTCTTCTGCATATTTGTTGGGCGATAGGTTCTTGAACGGTTGGTTCGTTGCCAGCCAGAGTGAGCTCCTTGTTGCTTACCCTTATTATTCTGGCCATCTGAACTTCAGTATCGAGTGAGCGTAGACGGCAGCTGTTGATGAATGTCTGTAGTTTGTTGGAAATGCTTTTCGTGACACGCCAAGTCTCTCAACCATATAGAAGCACTGACTTGACTGACATTGGTGTTGAAAATCCGGATCTTGTTCTTTGTGCTGAGTGCAGTAGCTCTCCACACTGGTTTCAGATTAATGAAGGCCTGTTTTGCTGTCTTTCCGATCCTGGCTTTGACGTCCATGTCTGTACCACCTGTGGTTGAAACGATGCTGCCTAGACAGGTAGGTGAAAGAGACTACTTCCTTTAGGTTTCTCCCGTTGATGGTGATTGGTGCTTGTTGTTGGTTGGGTATCTTCATCACCTACGTCTGTCTTCTCTACATTCACTTGAAGTCCCGTTTTCGCTGACTCTTCTGTCAACTTGTTGGCTTTTGCTTGTAGATCTTCGAGTTTGTGCGATACTATGCACAAGTCATCGGCGAAATCCAAATCTCCTAGGGTCTTTTCATCGATGCAGCCAACGTATGCGCCTCTTCTCGCTCCTCACGGTTTGCTGCATGATCCATTCGAGCCGACCACAATGAGGAAGATCATGGGTGATAGTAGGTGGCAACGTTGTCTTACTCCTGGCTTAACTTCAAAGGCGTCACTGAGCCTTCCATTGTGGATCATCTGGCATGTGGCGTCTTCATATAGCTGTTGAATGAGGTTGATAAAGATTTGTGGTATTCCGTAGTGTTGAAGCAAGCAGCTGCCAAATTACTTCTCGATCGACGCTGTCGAAGGCCTTTTCAAAGTCGATAAAGTTGAGGTAGAGTTGACTGCCATTCTATACTCTGTTCTATGATGATGCGTAGTGTTGCAATTCAATCTGCACATGATTTGTTCTTCCTGAAGCCAACCAGCTTGTTCCGGTCGTAGTTTCGAATCCAGAGCATCCTTTAGTCTCTGCAGGATGATGCGGCATAGTATTTTGTTTGGGGTGGACAGAAGCATGATTCCTCACCAGGTCGCCCTTCTTTGGGAGTCCGCTGGTAAGATAGCCCTTCTTCCAATCTGCAGGTACCTTTCCTTCCTTCCAGACCTTCTGCAACAGTGGTGTGAGGATGTCTGCTGTTGCCTCTGCGTCTGTTTTCAGTGCTACCTCCTTCTCTTCATCTGCATTGTTTGTAAGTGCGTAGTGTAGCACTGTATGATTGTGGCTTTCCTTTCTTTGCTGTTGAATCTTGTCTTAATGGTTCACACATGTTGCGGACATTTCATGTTCTCACTTTCGCTTTCATCGAGGGAAGACACATCGTCCGAGTGGCTGTTCAATGGCTTACAATAACCGGCGTCATTTTGCCTCTCCGGTTCCGAAAGGATTTAGTTTGTTTTTGTTTTTTATATCTTCTTTTTGCTTTGTAGTTTCTTTAGCGGTGGGATCGATTTTACCGGGTTGGGGTTTCTAGGTCTATCCGCAACCTTCCCTTTTTACACGGGCTTAGGACCAGCTAGTAACTACTGAACTAGTTAACCAGGCAAGGTTTTAGGTTGATGAAGGATGATATAAATAATTAACTGTCAAGATGGGTTAGTAAGGTATCCGGAGGTTGTCTAGATTTTTGGGACAAATCTCAGCTTTCTGGCGTTTAATATATATGGTTTTAGAAAACTTCGGAAAAGTTGACCTCATTTGTAGTGTCTTTTGAATCTTTTCAGACAATCTAAGAAAACCGCTTTCTTCTGTTCTTGCAATGTATGTGCTTCGGCAGCTATGCGTGACTTATTTTGCACACTTGGAGGTATCGTAGGAAGGATACCTGTTACCTTTTGATGGAATAAAAAGCGTATTGTTTGATACACAGGAATTAACGTGACTCCCAAATTAGGTTTAGCCATTGAAGTCCTCAACTGTCTGCTAATAACTCCAACAATATCATCACCTTTGAAATTAAGGAGAATAAATACAGGCTTTTTACTGACTGAAGCTTACTTCAAAGTTTCGACTTCCGTTTTTCCTTATCTGTTGATAAGTGCTTACGGATATTAAAATCCGATAATCATTTTGTTAACTTTGTAACTCTCTCCACCTCATCACTGGAACCTTTCATTCTAACTCTGTACAATAGGACTTCATCTGATCTCCATTTGTAGTTAGTTGAACAGAGGCTATTAAGACTCAAGTAGGTACCATTCCACGTGCTCTTTCGATGAATGGACATTTAAAGTGTGCCATCAGTCCTACGCTACAACACAATGCTCAGAAAGTTAGACTTTCCACCATTTTCGTATTCAACAGCAAATTTAATTCTGTTATGATCTTTATTAAAACGTTCTAACAAGTGAGATGCATGAAATAAGTAATTACATATAGGTGTAGTTGGCATACCCACTTCACTAATTGCGTCTTTAATCTTAATGTTCTCTAGATTGGCTACGAAGATATCTGCCAATATGCCATCTAGAGGATCTCCCTATAGCTACCCCACCAATTGGTCAGGAGAGTTAATAGTTAAATCAGTACTGAGCATCTTTGGTGCACACAAGTAGAAGGTGCCTGAACTCTCTTACTAGCATGTGGAGAAGATCCAGATGCTGGTATATGATATATGTAGTTTCCTGATGATATACTTTTGTGAATAAGAAGGGCATACCGAACCACACTGTGAACTTTTGAACATCAATTTCACTCAAGTTTTCGGCAAACTGAGAGGAGTCTTTAAGGCTATGCAGCTAATTGTCTACGAACTGATTCCAATTTTTCAGCCAACCGACTGGTCTATTTGTGATGAAGTGAAATACTCATGGGGAGAATAGGTCTGAAAGGAGTACCCTAACCCCAACCCTCACATAGGACCAGGCACCACTGCATAACGGTCCGAGTTGCCACAGCCCATATCAGTACATCAAGCAGAAAGGTAGTGAGGTGAAGGATGAAGATAAGAGAATGTAGTCAAAAGAAATACAGAGTACAAAAAGAGTGAAAGGAAGAGTGAGAAATGGTGAGATTCGGTATAGCGTCGTTAAGATGAGGATAATGTATGTATACATCTGCACCACTGACATCGGTTCTCAGCCATATCACCTAGAGTCTCCAACCACTGGTTCCTCTTGTCCCGCGGACCCCAACCACCTAGTCTGCATCGCCCCACATGGTTCGAAACAACAGTCAAACACTTCATGCATTGGCTGATCCTACTTCCCAGGTAGTTGAAGTGGTCGACACACTCAACCACTTCCCTCTCTATTGTTAGCCATGGTGCCGCTGAAGACCAATCCTGGAGCAATCATTTGCATTTGGGTGGTGAGAAACACATCCCAAATATTTATAAGGCGTGAATTATGTGTTTTTGCGAAGATATGTTTTGCTGCGTACCACAAACTAGCAACTATCGATACTAGTATTATCGCTTGTATTATACCGTCGTTGACTGGACCGAATTGATCGGTCTCTATTAGCAGATGACGAGTCCCAAACAGGACAGAATGTGTATCCTGGATCCCACTCCTAGCCACTAGCCATAACTATCAATATTTCCTGACATTTCTAGTTTTCAGTCAGAATACAACAGGAGTACTTTGAGAATTGTAAAGCATAATTTCGTTTGGTATTTGGAATTGTAAAAAGAACCCTAGAAATATTTGCCAGCAGCACTTCGTTTTACTTCATATTTTGGAAAGTGGAATTTTGAGTTAATTTTGAAAGTTAATTAACTAGCTAAAAAGAAAGACATTTCTTATAGACCTAGGATGTTTACCCTGACAATATTTATGTGATTTTGTGACCAAATTAATTGAGTGGATGGAAAACATAAGGATTATTTAATTACACTTTGAGATCACACAGAGATCCTATGACTGTTTTCATATTTGTAGGGTAAAGGTCTGTACAGTGTTGATAACCTTGCATATAAATTATATTTCTGCAGAGATTATACAATTAAGAAATCCTAACACCATATAATTGAATATTTACACATGAATATTATAGTAGCAAGCATTGATTTGCTTATCCAAGGATTTTACAATGATTGCCTTTGTAAACTAGTCACTCACAGCGTAGCCTTTGATTCATAAGTATATTTCATAGGTAAACATTATAAATTTCCCGCGAAAACCAGTATAAACTTACGTGCATCCTGTCAGGCGTGAAATTTCACTCTCGATACTATTTTTAGTTGCATTTAATGAACTCAACCTTGTAGATACTCTTTCGTATTCTTCCTGTGTTTTTTTGATATTCCATCTTAAAGTTGCTAAAGTATTGGAAGCTTGGTCATGCTCTGCAAACAAAACATAAAAACAAGTCAAAAGGTTTAATGTCATATACTGCTACATATTTGCATAAAATCAGAGTTCAGCCACAGTATATGTTATAACACATATTGACGAAACTAGTTGAGATAAAGTAACTTAGGATGCCATGTGGCTTTAGAACTTTGTACATGTAAGGAAATAGCATATCAGAATGCTGTGAAAACTAATAACGCAGTGTATTGTCTGGATTATAAATCATAAGTAATATTCACTTGAAAATGGTAGTGTGCCAAGCAACAAATAATCTAAGTCAGTTCCGTTTTACTTCTTAGCTTTATAGTTTATTGTAGTCGCAGATTGAAATACTGGGGTAATTACAAGTTCCGTTGATTTCTGATGTAAAATAAATTCATATTTCACCTAGTGACACACACAAATACTGTTGAGTTCAAGATAGGTCTTTCAACGTAAAGTTTACCATTGTTTTTCCTCTGAATTCATTAGCCAGATGATATGTGTAAGCTTCATGAGTATCAATACTAAAAAATTCAGAAGATACATATGATTAAATTCCCTGGTAGTTTACAAGTACTTGATAGGAATGCTTTGATAATATACACACTTCGGCCGAGCTCATCCAGATGATCTCAATAAAATATGATCAGAAATGACAACCATCTTTGTAGATGACGTAACATTACTTATACTAAACTTGTTTTGGCTTTCTCCACATAAGAATTTACATAATAATTTTGAATCTAACTCGTATCTTCATTCGATTCACCGGCCACTGCCATCCTACATTTATCTGAGAAATGTTTAGGTGAACAGGGGGCGTAAAACGGTTAAATGTTTCATCAAAACATACTACTTGACACCTCGAATAGCTGTTTGAGGTCTAGCTCATTATCAATGCACCAGGACAAACGCAGCTAATAGAGTCGAATCGTTTAGGTTAACGGAATCTGACTGACTAACTTGGATGGTCTAGTAAACTCCAGAACAGGATGATCAGTTGAAAACGGTTTACAAATCTCACCGTCCACCTTCACATTTTTCACAGCTAAGTAGTTTTTCAGCTGCTCAACTATGATGTCAACAGGGTTTTCGTTGGAAACCATCCAGCCCATATTGCAAGGTGTGAAAAACTGCTCACCTGTGAGAAATGTATCATGTAATTTGTAAGTTATTTATGAATTGATCATCCTTTTTTAAAGTATACCTGTCCATTCAACTCGGCTAGCCAAGTTCAGGTGATCTGAACGCTTAGACATTGTGATTCGAGTTTGTATTGGCACGCTGCTGATGAGCTTGGCCTCAAATAAGCGAAGTGCGCCTCCAGTGTTTAGATCACTCTGACCTGGCTAGCGAAGTCTATAGATTAAAGTGAGTGGTTTTAAGCCACACGTGTTGTTCATGCAGTACATTCCATTACTTTTTGAAACAGTGGAGAATATTTGTAGCTCAGGTGGGTGGTCTTGGTTGTATTGTGTTCTCTGAGCTGGGTTGTTTAATCGTGGAGATTTCATCGTCTATCTAGACGGCATCATCAGCACTAACTTCAGTATGAAGTGAGCTGTCAATATGTCTCCGTGAGTGATTTAGTAGCTTGCCCTGACTAAGTGGTTTGTGATTATTTCTTTCCTTTGATTGTTGTGTCATTGACTGTATAGATTTTCCTGTTGGCTGTTCCTTTACTTAACCACTGTCGTTTATCATTTTTCTCATTGATACAGTCAATGACACAACAATCAAAGGAAAGAAATAATCACAAACCACTTAGTCAGGGCAAGCTACTAAATCACTCACGGAGACATATTGACAGCTCACTTCATACTGAAGTTAGTGCTGATGATGCCGTCTAGAAAGACGATGAAATCTCCACGATTAAACAACCCAGCTCAGAGAACACAATACAACCAAGACATTTCATTACTTCAAGATACTTTTGTATCAGGGATCATACCTTATGAACTTGGCTGGATGGTTTCCAACAGAAACCCGGTTTGTAACCCAGTTGAGTGGTTAGGAGACACTCAACTGTGGAAAATGTGAAAATGAACCTTAGGATTTGTAAATTTAAAATGTTTCATCATTACATATTCCAGTTATGTATTCAGTATTTAAAATTGGGAAAAATTACTTGATAATGTGACAGTTCTGGTGCAACGTATCACCTAAATTCCGGAAATCTTCAGTTATATACAACTCAGAAGTATCTTCCATGAATCCAAATATTTCTATTTCTTACTACCATCTTTTTCACTGGAAAGGTTAAGATTTACTCAAGCATTTCTCATGGTAACGAGAATCTAGTTCGATGGTACAATCTTGAAGTAAGAAAAGCTACAGTAACTGTTAAGCAGTCAGAAGCACGGTCACATCATTCTCTTCCGGACAAACAAAAGAGGGCAAAAAATCATGAAAGACAGCAGTTCAGCTTAATACGGTTTGAAAAAAGAAAAAATAGAACATTCCAATAAAAGAATATCGTAGAGAAGACTTGTAGATTAGAATTTGTATGACATTGTGTCCGTGTTTCCAAGCTTTGATGTCTTCTTTAGCGTTTCAACACAAGACTAAGTGGTTCCATTAACACCATGCCTCGCATACAAGGACATTTCATGGGAATGAAGGAATTTAAGAAGCAGTAAAGCTTGAAATTCGCTAGTAAGCCAAAAATAGGTGAGTTTACGATGATTGATTTCAAGTTTGTGACATCTTCCTAATATTAAGTGTTTTGAGAGTAATAACAGGACGTTTTGGAAGTAAGGATCAGTTAGTGGGTCAGCATCATCATATAGTATCTATGAGCCCTAGTTAGAGTATGTTCTTCGTGAAATTCAACTACAGTTCAAAAGAGATAATTAAATGGTTGGCCGTTCGTGTAAAATTTGACTGCTTGAATTACTTTTAGGTGATAACAATTAAATGATATCGCCATCAGTTAACTTGCTGTTCCCAGTATATTTCTTTTCCACTTGATTTTGGTTATGTGAGAAGAACAAATTCAGTTTGTTTGTGCAATTTTTGAGACCTTCAAAAGTGCACGATAACTCAAGAGAACACAAGTGTTATGTCTTTCAGTTACGAGTTTTGTGGGGATTTACTCATTCCAAGGTAGTATTCACCCCCAACAAACATCAGTTTTAGAACAGCTAAAAACCTGGGCAGCTGTTTCTTCCTAGTTTGTGACTCCCATGACTCTGCAACGGATCGGACCAGCACCCTCAGGTATTATGAGGAGAACGGTTTACTCCTCAAAAGATTAGATATTGCATTAGTACACTTGCTGTATTATCACTCAAATTCACATTAGTCAACTGACCTATAATTTGATCCGAATTTAACACCCAGCAGATTACAATGAACTAATATTCAATTCCGACAAACATAAGATTTGTTCATAAACAGCAAAATGTTTGCCATGCATACAGACTGAACAGTAAATAAATACGGGTATATTTGGTATAAAAGGATCTCGAGGTTTAAATCTCTCATGAAGTTAAATCTTACGCTGTGAAAAAAATAAGTCCCGTGCAACATGCCGAGCGCAACTTTGACGCAAACATTCGACAGCTTAATCACAGGTTACCAGATCCTGCGCAGCTAAAAATAGCTTCACCCATAATACAATGCATTAAGCTTCCCTGCTTCACTTTAAAAAAACAAGAACTATATTGAAAGCACACAGAATCGGGGGCGAAGTCATTCCAAAGACGAACGTTCCACTCATACCTAGAAGGCACACCGAACTTCAAACGTATTCCTTAGAATATGAGTAAATAAGAGGTTAATCGTTGTAATAAACCTTCACCTGCTTAACCAGTTCATTAGTTACTAGCCAGTCCTAAGCCCAGATAAAGAGGGAAGGTTGGGCATAGAGCTAGCAACCCTTCCATGGAAAACCAATCCAACCACTAAAAAAACTTCAAAGCACAAAGAAAAAACAAACCTATTCCTCACTGGAATCGGGGAGGCGAAATCACGCCGGTTGGTGAAAGCCTTCGGGAAGCCAATTGGCCGATATGTCTTCTCTTCCCTCGATGAAAGCGAAAGTAAGAATGGGGACATGGAATGTCCGAACAATGTTTGCAGCTGGCAAGGCTGCCCAAATTGCAAAACAGATGAGAAGGTTTCACATTGAAGTGCTAGGAATCTGCGAAAGTAGGTGGAATGGAAGTGGACTCTCCAAACTGTCAACTGGAGAGTCAATAATCTACTACGACATTGTCACCCAGACGAAAACCACGAGAACACTCAGTTATAAAGTGGCTATCATGATGTCCCCAAGACCACCAAAGGCTCTCATACAGTGGGAAGCAACCTCCTGCAGAATCATGACAGCAACATTCAAATCAGAAGGAAGGAAAGCCACAATCATACAATGCTACGCACCTACAAATAATGCAGATGAAGAGAAGCAGGAGGAATTCTACAGACAACTGCAATGAGTACTGGACAAGACTCCAGTTGGCGACATCAAAATTCTAATGGGTGACATGAATGCCAAACTCGGAGTGAACAACACAGGAAGTGAACTCATAATGGGTCGAGAAGCACTCGGTGAAATGAATGAGAATGGAGAATTGTTTGCAGATTTCTGTGCATTCAACGATTTGGTGATTGGATGCTAGGCAGTGTGTACAAGCACAAGGATATTCACAAGGCAGCGACATGGATTTCACCAGACACACAAAAATCAGATCGACTTTATCTCAATCTGATGAAAGTGGAGACGCAGTCTCCTAGACACAAGGTCAAGAAGGGGAGCAGATGTAGGTTCACACCACTCACTATCTAGTGCAAGGAACCTTCCAAATCAAGTTGAAAGCCTTCAAGGAAGTTGGTGATGATAGACCACAGTTCAAGTTCAACACACAGAACAGAAACTGAACTGAAGGACAAAACTACAAAGGACATCTTCACGTCAGCCATCAGAACAAAATGGGAGACATTGAGCAACATCCCTGAAGGAACCTGTGTGGAAGAACACTGGAACTCTTTGAAAGTGATGTGGAAAGAA